AACTTTTGCATGAATATTATTTAATATCACCATTGTATTTACTATATAAGAAAATTGATTATTTTTAGAAGAGTGACCCCTGTGCATTTCCACAGAGTTTAGGAACATGAGTGTTTGCATGTTTCCCCCAATTTGAAAATGCTGCAGAAATAATTTAGCTTTTATTCTGGTTTGCACTGGTCTCAAGCACAGTCCTGTTCTGAAAGCAGCATATTGGAAACATGATCCATCACAGAGAACTGGGAGAATTTTGTCCCTAAGGAATTGACTTAATTATTTCTTTCTATCAGTGAGCAAAATCCAGCCTGACAGAGTGGCAAAGCACAAAACATAAGTACTTTTCAATCCTACTTAAGACCTTTTCTGTTTGCATTGGCATTAATTTAGTCACTGTGACTGGCAGGAGAGTGAATGCAACCACACAAAATCAAAGAGCAATAACTAGAATGAAGAGGTAAATTTGCAATATAAGGAAGTTCTCAAGCTAGAGTTATAAATACCAGTACTGGTACTCATATCAGCTTTGCATCATCCCGCTTGGAGGGATTTATATTTTATATTTTTTAATAGCAGATATAGGGTATCATGTTCTGCAATATACAGTAAATTCAACCAGGAAAGTGGTAATATATAGTGTTTGGTAATTCCCATTTTATGTGAGTGTTATCCTGAGGTTTTTCTCATTACCTCTTTCATTCCCTATAAATCCTACCAGAGACCAATCTTTCCAGTTACTTTCAGTGAGGTGAAATATGCTGCCTTACTTAGAGGTGTTCAGTATCATTGTTAGAACACAACTTACTCACTGACTGAAGATCCTTGATTCCAAACTCCAGTGCACATCCCGTGCTGCCCAAGCTGGAACAGACCCTGAGGCCTGGCCAGGGGTTGCTTCCTTGCCTGTGGAGAGATGAAGATGTTCTCTCCTCCTTTTTGGACTGAACAATCATGCAGTGAAGCACTCTGAAGCCTAAAAGCAGAATAGATTTATTGCAATAACCTAGAGATGCAGATATGTCCATGTTTAAGAACTCTATATACAAATTCAGGAGATACTCTATGTCCATGATTATTTTACTGCCTCTTTGGAGTGGCATACATGCAGTTAAGCAGTCTGCTGGAAAAAGGGTATCCACAACCCCCTATATGAAAGCACAGTGGGCCTGATAATCAATTAGAGCAAGAACCTATGTTGAAGTAAATCAACTATGATGATTTGCAGACATTAAGAGCTGGGCTCATTTTTTTTTAAGTTATTATATTTCACTGAAAAATATGTATGTTTTATTACTCCATGAGCTGTGGTTAAAATCAAATATGAAATCTGGTTCTAGATTACATAAATAATATTATAGCATAAAAGCAGCCCCAAGGCTATCATAGAATGGTTTAGGTTGGAAGGGATCTTAAAGATCATCTTGTTCCCACTTCCCTGCAATTGGCAGGGACACCTTCCACTAGACCAGGTTGCTCCAAGCCCCATCCAACCTGGCCTTGAAAAGTTCCAGGATGCATCCATAACTTCTAGGAGAATCCATAACTTTTCTGGGAAACCTGTTCCAGTGCCTCACTGCTCTCACAGTAAAGAACTTCTTCCTAACATCTAATGTAATTTAGAAGTTAAGATGTAAAAATATATAAGCAAAACCCAAGAAAACTGTTAGTCAGACCAAAAGCTTGCTTAAAGAATACACAGTTCAAAATAAAAATTTAAATTGTTCCTATACTATAGTTATGAAAATTACTTCAAAACATTCCCAGTAACTTTGCTTTGTCTCATTTCACTACAAAAGCATTCTGCATTTCTAACATAAATGTAGCACTACATATTTTTTGTAAAATTTATATTGAAAATTGTAGTCATATTTTAAGTGTATAAAAAGATTGTGAATAGTTATTTGATAACTTGTTAGCTTTCTTCTAATTAAATATATACTTTTATTTTGTAATCCTAGCTACATAAGTACCAATAGTTATTTGCAAATAGTACCTATTTCTCATTTTACTTTTTTGTCTGGAATCTTAACAGTAGCACAGACACTGTGCTCAACATAGTCACTGAGAACTCAGGATACATCTACACCCACACCTGATATTTTATACCAATTTATCATTAAGAGTCCCTTAGTTGTCTACAGCTGCTGTAATAGGTGTTTTGCATTCTCCAGCTCTGGAAAATGCTACTGGTGGTGGAAAATACTGACACTGTATTTTTACTTGAGGACCAGTGACCACCCATACCTCCCATTTATTTAGCTGACCATTCTGTACTTGTATCTTACTGCTCTGGGTTTAGTGCTCAGCCTGAATATCTGAAAGGAGCAGCTTTGATGAGCTCAGTCCCTGCAGAGGAAGCCTTTTGTGTACTTGGTTTACCTTTGCCATTACCTGGGCTAAAAGCACTCTCTGCAAGGTACCTGATTTTGTGCAGGAAGCTTCAGGCTCAGTTCAGGTCTGTTTAAATTGGAGGGTTCTAGTTAAATTACAGAAGGATAAAAATTCAGGCATTACAAACTTCTCTGACAGCAGGAGCTTCGCAAGGGACTGTACTGCTTCCCAGTTAACACAATTCCCTACACCTATGTGCTGTCATCCCATGCTGTATCTATCAAGGATTTCAGGAAACAGGTTTTCTTAAGTTCTTATTTAAAATTATTTGTGTTATGCAGATGAAGTTCCTTTATGAAATTTAAAAATACACACTTTTATGCACTTATGGAAACCAAACATGAAGCTTTAAAAATGTTTCTAACCAGAATACTGTGGAATAGATTGTTCAGTATAAAAAGAGAGAAAATTTTGATTGACAAACTAAGTGTAATTATATAAATGTAACAAGTGGCTATGATTTAATGAGCCCTCTTGATGGGACCCGGGGCACACAACCCCCTGCAAGAGAACTTTCAGAAGGTAATTGTTCCGCTCTCCCCGTGGGTGTACACCAATGTACACGCAGTGCTGGGGTGCAGGAATTAAAAAGCAAAATTTTAAATAAAATTCCATGTTCACAGTGATCAAAAGTAAAAGACGTTCGACTTCCAAACAGGAGTGTTTCAAGGGTATAAGAGCCCGACCTCGCTCCTTTGACAGGAGTGCTGCCAGAGCCCCTGTGCCACGGGGGACAGCAGGACACGGCTGTGACAACACAGCGTGAGTTGCAGAAGACAGAGAAATATTTTAGTGATACTTTTATTTTTATAAAAAAGTATATATTTATGACAAATGTAAATGTGTATTTATAGCACATGCTGTTCCTGTTATGTTTTGTCTCTGTTGAAATATACTTATCTGTCTATATCGAAATGTACGCCGATAACGCGCATTCACGGGCGGAGCTCCGCGCCGCAAATAAAAGCCACCAGAGGAAAGACCTTGTCGCTTTTTTGTGCCGGACAGCCCCGGCCACTCGAGCCCAGCTGGCCCCGCCGCTCCGAGCCGCAAGGAGGGAGCGGGAGCCGGGACTGCACAGCCCGCGGCTCCCGTGGGTGTGCGGCCGAACCCCTCTCTGCCCGGTCCGGTCCGGTCCGGTGCTGCCCCGCCCGGAGGGAAGGAAGGAGGCGCGGGCGGTTCGCGGGACTGGGCCCGCCGGGTTGCTGCTGTAGGATGGTGCAGTATCACGGGTGGGAAGGAATCGCAGGGATCACCGACTGCTGGCCCTGCACAGGCCGGCCCCGGCGCTCCCAGCGTGTGCCTTACAGCGTTGTCCAAAGGCTTCTTCAGCTCTGCCGGGCTGGTGCTGTGAGCACCGCTCTGGGGAGACTGCTCCAGTGCCCAGGCGCCCTGTGGGTGAAGAACCTTTTCCTGATCCCCAGCCTAAATCTCCCCTGAGGCAGCTGCAGGCCGTTCCCTCGGGTGGGTTCCTGCTCAGATTCCCTGTGGCCGGGCCGTGCCGGAGGCTCTCGGTGTCGCAATGCTGCAAAGGGAGCTCCAGCAGCTGTGCCGCGTGTGAGACACAGGAAAGGGCTGCTCCTCAAACACGCCTCAGAAAGCACAAACACCTCCATCTTTTGTGTTTACTAAAATAAGCTTGGATTACAGTGTGTATATCATTTCCAGTGACGCCTCGTTAAAACACAGACTGAAATAAACGCATAAAACAATGATGAAAACATTTAAACCCAAATGTAGTTTGAAAGTGAAGTACTTGGGAGTAGAGTTACATTTGCTGCTCAGAGCCCAGCTATTATTCCCAGCACCCGAGACAAGGCAGGCAGCAGGCGCCCCCAGGGTGGGACAGCTGTGCGGAGTTTCGGAGCAGAGCTGCTCCGACCTCCCCATCCACAGGTAAGCACCGATCCAGCTGTGCTGCTCGGGGCACTGCTGCAGGGCTGGAAATGGCTCCACGGCAGCGCTGGCACAAGAGCAGAGCCTCGGGGCTTTACAGAGCGTGCAGGTGCTGCAGAAATTCACTATGCGTACCTAAAGTTGCAGTGATGTATTCCCCACAGAGAAGGGTTGTAGCTTTTCTTTCCTCATTTATCTCATCAAGGACTGGTGCACTCTATTTCCTGTTTATGAGGGAATGAAAAACACTTTTCCTCTGCTCCAATGCTCTTCAGCTGTAATAATAACTATTTATGCCTAGCAAAATTAATCTAAGGTTGCAGGACAAATCAAATTGTATGTATGTGATCACAAGTATTCAAATAAATAAAATTTAGTGAATTTAAAGGCTTTAGATAACATAGACATACCCCAAAAAATAAAAGGAAAAAATCAGTATCAGACAAATTCCTATTTGCTTGACACTGGAAATTTACAAAGAGCATGAGTCAATGCAGTAAGAGGGCTGTTGGCAACTCACTCCAGTTTTTTCACTGGTAGATCATTGCAATGTACCTGTCACGGCCCTAACCTGGGGAAACTAATCAGGTGGGCTTTTTAATTCAGAGCCCACAGTATAGAGGTGTCATCTCTCTCACCCATTTTATAAGTGTGAGTTAATTGTCTGAGATTACCAACAAAGCTTCCTAGAAAGCAGTGAGAGCTGCCTGATGAGAATGGCAAAACAGCAGCAGAAGCTGAAAGCATGCTACTTTATGAAACAGGCTTTCCTCAGCCACTTCTACTTTTTCAGTAAGTTGAATTAAAATACTGCAAACAGCTCTCACAGGTGGACACAGTTAAATTAAATGTTTGAGAAATGGTGACCCTTTCAGGTGGACAGCTACAGTGGAACTAGGACAGAGAAAGTACCTCCACCTGCGAGAATAACTGAGGTGTCAGTACAGCCTTAACACAGCTGATAGTAGCCTGGAAAAGTGAGACCCTAAATGTTTGACTAAACAGGAATCTTCTTCTGCCTATTTTCAATAGAAAGTGATGAATTAAAATAAATTTAAATCTGGGGAGTGCTCAGGCAAGTACTTGGCATTTCTGTGCTGCTGGAACTGCATTATCAACCAGTTTTCTTGTTTCCCCAATTCTGATTAATTTAACATTATACAATGTACTCTAATAAACCTGAAAAGCACCTAATTAATCTAAAAATATGTGGATCAAGAGATTTTTTTTCCATTCTGATTTGATTCTCAGCTTCACAAAAATCTCAAGTCTTTAATGTCCTGAGAAATTACTCTTTCAGTAGAAGAAAGATGAATTATGCCTCAATGAACAATTGGGTTATCAAGGTTGTTCACTTAGTGTTCCAGCTGTTCTATAACACCATCTTAATGCTTATTGGAGAATTATTTTGCATCCAGTCTTACTATGTGGTATTTACAAATAAATGCATTGTGTTTCTTACAGCTGCTCTGCCAGTTAATAGTAAATACAAGTACAAAATTAATTTCTTGCCTTTTACCCCTAGATCTAGAAATATCAGAGGATAGATGCTTCATTCAAAGGAGATCCATTAATGTAATAATAGTGAAAATGGAGATTAAAGCTGATAGGCTTTGTGGGGAGTTTTGTACAGCACTTAACTACATTAACACTGGGTTTTTCTCCTCCTCTTAAGTGCTAAAACTTAGATATACTCAAAATTCACTGAGAACCAAGCAAATGCAGTCCTGGCCACTGCTTCTTTGCTCTTTTCCAGCTGGCCTGAAGGGAGATGGACCTCACCTTATTCTGGAAGTGGTAACAGAGTGGAATGCTGTAGACCTGGTGGTCAACAGGGAGATTGTATTTCATTGCAATATCTGTGACCTGGATTTTGTTAACTCTGAATTTTATTATTTGCAGTTTCTCCAAAAGCACTTGCTTTGAAATAAGCATTTTGAAATGAGTGCTTCCTAAGGCATAAACAGTCCTGGTTCTATCAACATTTACACTTTTAAGCTCTATATCCTTTCTATGCTTTATATTCAAGGCAGTGTGAAAGGCACAGTCAGGAACAGGGAATGGCTTGGGAGTTAAGGCCATGCTTGGGAGAGCACTGTCTGGGGCCATCCCATAGGCACCAGCACACAACCACAAGAAAACCTGCTAGATTTTGGTCCACAGAGGTATTAGGGCTTCCCTCTGCTTTCAAAATAGCAATTTTTATTTTTTGCTTGAGCTGAATCCATCTCAGATTACAGACCTGACCACAGCAGAGCCAAACTGGGTCCAAGTACTGTGAGGGAGAGCACAAAGGACTGTAGGTGTTGGGGTAAGAGGTAGAAATGTAAAAGGCAAATACATTTACTTGCATATATTCTGTAAAAATTGTAATTTTCTCCTTTAGGAGGTGATGGCAAGTTAGATCCACTTTGTGAAGAAGCCAGAAGGGTGCTGTTAAATGCTTAACAATTTCCAGGCACACTTTCCCTTCAAGCTTGGGTTTCTGTCAAGCAGTTTACTTGCATCACAAAGATATTACCCATTGGTTCTCTACACTTCTAGGTCTCTTAATGAAGAGGATAATCTTGTTGCACCCCCACGTCAGTCAAATAAGAATAGAGCACTTTTTCCTGAACTAGTTGTATGTTACTACCCTGAATATTGCAAATTCGGGTAGAACTTACTTGTACGGCATTTTAATAATTTGAATTAAATTAAAAGAAGACTGAGATTCTGGATATCTTTCATTCTTTCAACTTTAAAAACTTCATGTAGCAAAGATGCTTTCAAAGTCATTCATAGCTGATAATACTTATTTTTACAGTTATACCAGTTTACAGTTCTGCTCTTCTCTTGACCACAAATATCTCAGAGAACATTTGTGCTTTACTAGGGAGCCCAAAAGTAGAGAGAAGGAAGTTGGCATAGCCATAGGACAGGATTAAAACTGACTGGGTGTTATCACAGCTGATATTCCATGTTCCCTGAAAGTAACTACAGTATGAAGCTCCTTTTTGCTCCTTATTTGTCAACATACATTCAACTTCGATTTTATTTTTAAAACGATTTCTACTTAGGTAAATTCAGCAGTTGGAGAATAATCATATGCCAGAATGCTGGTACCCTGAGCAATATCCAGTTTGGCCCATAATTAGTTATGAAAGAAGGAGGTGGTCAATCTTTGCACACTAACAGAGGGGGTTCAGCCAAGAAACACAAGGGTTTGCTGAGGCCCAGGAGCAGCAGGCAGCAAAGCTGCAGTTTCCAGCAGGGCTGCAGGACAGCAGGCTGCCCAGCACAAAACTACAACCCAAAGAAAACCTGTCACTCAGTGCCTTCTACCAGCTGACATCTGCAGGGAGATGACAAACCACATTTACAGTAACACTGATCCCACACAAAAGTGTGTCAAAATAACACTATCACTACGTCCAGATTCAGTCCCCTTCCCTAGAGGTGACAGAGGCATTAAAACAATATTCCTTAGTGAGAAGAACAAAGCAGGAATTGTATTGTCCCTTTAGAAGATTGAATCAGTTTTGCTTTCTACCCCTCTGATACAACAAGATCAGGAAGTGGGAACATTCAGACTGAGTTGGATTGAGAAGATCAATACAACTGAGCTTGGCACAGCTGGCCAGGGGCACTTTTGCAGGAATCACTCACACAGACAGCAAACTGGGTTTTCAGCACCTGCCCTGGACAGAGGGAGTTCGTTCACACCTTGCTGTCACCCTGACCCTCTCTGCCACTACTGAGCAGATTGTCCTGCCCATAAACCAATTCCAGTGCAGCTCTCAGCAGAGGCAGGGCTGTCTCAAACACACCTACTGCATTCATCACTGCGACACCAACAAATGGCTTTCTGCTCTGGCAGCAAATTGTTTCTTGGCCTCTTAGGTAAGTGCAAATTAATTAGACTAAATTAGTTTAAATAATACTAGTTCTGAGCAGGATTTACTCCCAAAAATAGCAGAATAAACTCCCCAGATCTCTTGAGCATGGAAAGCTGTGAACATCACTGGAAACACTGCAAGGAAATGAGCTCGCTAGTGTGACTAGTCTTGGGATAGATGTTTTTGGTTTGTTATTTTGTTTGGTGGGTGGGTTAATTTTACTGTATTTGGTGCCATCTTTTACATCACTCTGGGGACACTTCTGACATAACTCCAAGTCAGAATAACAGCAGTTTTGTGGGGAGATATTATGCCTAAATAAATCAACATGTTTAGGTGGAGTAAATTCAAACAGTCTTTGAGGAGCACAAAGCTGCAGGTTTGAAACAGCAAGCTTTTGAGACAAGCACGGGTTGAGGACAACTGCTCTGACTTTGCCTTAGAGTAATATGTTGACCAAATTGTGAGAGTGAGACAAAAAATCAGCTGCACCTAAAAGAGATCTCATAGCTCCACACAGAGAACTCAGGCCTCGTTACTGTGTTTTTATTACAGAAGGAAGAAATAAACACAAATTTACAGTAGCCCTTTCAGTGTGGTACCTGCCCCCAAACACTCCCTGCAGTTAGTTGCCACAGCACTAGCAGGCAGCTGGATATTGAAAGGCACTACAGTGGCCACATGGACAAAGGCATGTAATTTTTTTATAATGAAACATTCACTTTTCCCCCCTCACTTTCCCCCTCATTTTTAAGGCGATTATCTGCCCTGTGGATAATCATGGCCATTCAAAACTGAATTTAGCCTCCAAAGTCTCTCTACAGTAACTTTGAGCCAGACTATTGTGATAAAGTCAAATCAGGAAGAAGAAAGCAGCCGCAGCAAATTATTCCAGTAGTAACACCAACTAAATTGCTGTGCAGCTTTTATGGTTTGACTAATTGTCTCATTAAGGCACATTTCTGATCACTGAAATGGATCTCAAGTATTATTAATCACTGAAAAAACGGTACCACTAAGAGCCTCTCTCCCTCCTATCCTTGGCACTCTTTGCAATGGAAAAGGCTCACACACTCCTGTTGATTGGAGCCCCACTGCTGCACAGTTGGCAATCAAACGGTACTAATGGCACAATAACCCAATATAACTAAAATAGTTATGCCTTTCACAGTAACAATCTCTTGTAACGTGATTAAGCTCCATCATGTGCGTTTCCTTGTGTTTTGCAAATGGCTCAAAAAAATCTGACAATTTTTCCAGTAATTTCTTCAAAAGGAGAGGGATAATATATAAAAAATTCCTTAGCTGTCAGGAAACAAATTAGAAACATTTGATGAATTTAAAAAAATGAAAACAACTGCAGCAAGCATGGGCTGCATGGCAGTATGCTTGTGTGGCACCCAGTCCATTCCCCCTTGCAGAACACACCTCCAAAAACTGGCTTTGGCTCAGTTATTTGCAGGCACTTCAGTTTAGGAGCCTTAGTCTAAAGCTTAGTTTAGGAGCTGGCTTGCCCTGGGCTACCTCTGTAACTGGTAGAGAGAAACTCCACAACACAGCTCAGATCTCTGTGAAGTACAGACTACAGTCTGCATCTCTGGGCTCCCAATCTAGGTACTTCATTGGTGTTTGGTTTGAAACAATATTAGGAAAGATGAAGCTTCTTCCTCATGTAAGGAGCAAACTAGCATTATCCAAGACACCACTGATGGGCTCTGTTCATTCTCAGCAAACAGGAGGACTTTGCCCTTGGCCATCACTCCCTGTGGCTGCACAAGCCATAGACTGCAACAGGACAGTTCCCTTTACCAGGGGAGCCTGCAGGTGTTTGTGCCATGTATTATCAGATTAAAGACAGCAGGTACTTCATTTCCAAGCAGTTAATCTTCAGAAGCCCAATGCAAAAGTGGCACAGTTATTGCTGCAAGAGATACAGACTTTCTTGGTTACCAGTTTGACCAAGCAGAAAAAAGACCTGCAAAGGTTTGGGAGCTCTTCTGTGGAGATGGAAGTGGTGCATGGGAAGGAAATTACAATGGCAATCCTCAGTATAGGCTTATTTAAGTGAGAGACAAGACGTATCACTAATTTAAAATTAAAATTAATTTGAAATGCAGCCATTGCTGGCTACAGCTTTCAGTTTTGCAGGGCAGTTTTAAGAAAAGACAGTGTTGTTCAACACACAGGCACTTTTCAGGCATAGAAATATTTGCTAGCATATAGTGTATATGCAAATGTGCCCAGGAATGAGCCACCGAGGTCACATGCAGTATAGCCAGAAACATCACAAACAAGTGGTCTTTGTTGCAAGCTCTGGAATTAATTCTGGGGAACAGAACGTGGCTACAGAGATCTCCTTCCCTGTGGGCTTTGTTACAGAGACAGGTACCACAAAGTTGAAATCTGCACAAATCTATTGAGCTCCTGTACTGTGCAATATTATGCTCACTACGACAAATATTATTTTACTGATGAGTCTAATGAGGGACTTCAGGGTTGTGATAAACGAAAATGAAATCAAAATGGAAGTAACAAAAATTATCACACTTCATGTAGCATGTCCCTAATTTTTTAATGTGCATGAATATCAGAAGAGTAATGCTGAAAAGAAGGAAAAATACTAGGGTTTTTTTCCTGGCAGTCCCTTCAGAAGCTATTTATGAGCAGTCATAAACTGACATGCACACTCAGATATATTTTCCTGAAGCCTGTAGAGTTTTGTCTAAGCAAAAGCTTCCGAATATGTGTGTGTAAATAAATTAAAGACTGTCTGGCTTATAATGAGAAGGGTGTATTGTGGTATAAATATTGCAGAGCACATTAAATAAACATGGTCACATATGACCAGGTATCTATTAAATGAGCACATCACAGGAGAAGTTAATTATCTAAGAGTGTAACTAGGAACCGTTTAGAATCACTGGAGATTAAGTTGCTTTATTTCTGTTTATCTTTCCTTCTGAATAGGCAGTAGGTCGTTGCAATGAAGAGTCCCTAAGCAACACAGAGCTTCAGCTCTTCATCAACCCTAAGATGACAGTTTTGTCAACACCAGTTTGAAGGCAGGATAAGCCAAAAATTTTACTCAATGTAATTTTGTGCAAAATGGGTTGGCATAAAACAGTATTTTAAGATGTAAAAGTGCAAAATATTTACAGATACCTTATGCTGTTCAGGGGAAAGAGGAAAACTTTAATGCTAAATATATATTTGTCTCACATACTTCAGCCTAAAAAAGTATATAAGGACTGCTTCAAAACTGATTTGTAGCGTCAGAGGCTTATATCCTGAGAGTAACATTTAACTTTACCATAGTAATAAGATTTTTCTAGACTTGACAAGTTACTGTGTTTCAGTCCACATGCAAGAACATCAGTGTTGATGGAATTTGATTTTGCTTGGGCCGTGAAACTCACAAAGAAAACTGTCCACTATTCATCCTATACAAAATAACACTGCAAACCCAGACTAATTAAGGATATGTTTGGGCAAACTGCTGTAGCACAAAGAAAACTGATGAAGGAGGATTTAATCACATAAAATTATTGAAAGCAAGATGAAGGCAATCCC